ACACACACACACACACACACACACACACAGAGAGAGAGAGAGAGAGAGAGAGAGAGAGAGAGAGAGAGAGAGAGAGAGAGAGAGAGAGAGAGAGAGAGAGAGATGGCAGCCCTGCCTTGGAGATTGGCGAAGGCAGGTGCACCGGGTGCTAGGGTGGAAGGCCCTTGCAGGGAGGCCCACACGGTAAACGGCCGCTGCGTGTACGGAACAAAAACGTGCATGCCGTAGAACACCGATTTTTTTTTTTCGTTTTTCCTGCGTGCCCGCCACTTTCTGTACAACTGGAAAGAGGACAGGCGTTACCGGCAGCCGTGGACAATAACAAGTCCGTGCATGGGCCCCCGTGGGCCCAATAATTTAGTGGAGACCGCTGCCAGTCCGACCCTGCCCCTACCTTCGAATTTGTCGCTTGCGGCGACAAGTTATTTTGCTGCATGGCTGGGGCCGTGTACTTGTGGTTTAAAAAAAGAACCCACACAAACAAAGATAGACTCTTACTTACAGATATCCTGTCTTACTTGCCTGGACGGAGAGGTTAAGGTAAATGCGACATTTGTAGGTGCATCTACCCCATATTGAGCCAGAATTCAATTACATTATAAATGAGGGAGCTCAGATCAGAAGGACGGTACCTAAAGGACTCAGAGAAAATCTTGATTCGGTCTTTTGTGACATCAGCTGACCAGTTTTGTGACTTTTGTCGGTTGTAAGGAGTCAGGTCGTAGTCTGCAAGGGTGTTGTGTCCTAGTCTACAACAGTTAAGAAAGATATTGAGGTTGATGAGGAGCAAGAGGTACTTCTCTCCTCGATGTTGATGTTCACACTCTGCTCTTCACGTTCCTCCTTCCCTTACTGAGTTCTATGCGTCGGGCGTTTTCTTGTGCAAGTCCGACATTGTTTTATTTGGTCCCGTTTCTCTTGAGAACAGGGTCACTGGGGTTCTTGCCAGTTTGCTTACAACTAGCTTTTTGTGACAGCTGCGCTATTTTGGTTGTTGGGTGTCTTGTTTCATTTTTTCCTTTCAGGTAGACCGTCAATTGGTCTTTGCTTAAGATCGGATAAGATCGGATAAGATCGGATAAGATCGGATAAGATTGGATAAGATCGGATAAGATTGGATAAGGTTGGATAAGATTGGATGAGATGGCGTCTGCTCCGAATGTGGACAGGGGGAGTGCATCTTCAATGAGTGCCTTGCCAGAGGATGCTTGGAGGACGGCTTGGAGATCTACTGCTCTGCAGGAGTTGCAATCTGAAAGTCGAAGTCAGACGGCAAGGCAAAGACAAAACTCACGAGTGAGTTACTTACTTAGAGAGCGCGCTTCCCTCCTCATGTCAGTTTGGTCCAAATGTTTGTGTAGTGCGAGTGGATCACTGTTGTTATTTGCTGTTTACCTTTAATGGTGTTGTTTCGACCGTAGTGGAGAGATGCAGACTCTCAGCTATGGTTAGAGCCTAGAACCACAGTTCAGAGTCTGATATGCTGAGTGTTAAACCACTAGTACCTTTCCCGCGTGGGAAAATAGGGAAAACTGGCAATTTTCCCAAACTCCTGAATATTCGGAGGTCGGGCCCGACGACGACTGCCATTGATAAATCTGATCGGCGGCCGTCATTTCGTTTCAGCCTCTGAAAAGGTCCGACGCCTACCCGAGGCCCGCTATTTTCCCAAGCGGCAAAGGTACTAGTGGTTTAAACGCGACCACGAGTGGGTGACTGTGAGAGTGTGCTGTGCATGTTAACCGTCTCTCAGCTGAGAAACACACACCCTCATGGTGCACACGTTCATGGTGCACACGTTGGTCGGTATATCCCATATATTATTTCAAAGTCGATGTAATGAGAATATCGAACTGGTTTGCTTCATGTTTTTTTCCCTTTCTTGTAACCAACGGGTACCTTTCA